GCAAAATTCTTCAATCTATTTCTTTAATCGTCTTCTTCTTCTTCTTCTTCCAAATTTCAATTATTACCTGCCAATCGGCATGCGACTTAAGAGATAATAAAGGGGATAAAATTATTATTTGTGTGTTAAAGCACTCCATATCTTGGCAAATAAAGCTTTTTTTCATTGGTTTGGGTGATTGGTCAACAATTTGGCTTTTCTTTTAAGCCCGAAATGAATTTGTGTATTGTTTATTTGTTTTTTCCTTTGGGATATTTATTGGGAGTCTTTTATCTATTTAATTTTTTTTATCTTATTTTGTTATTTCCAGCATTATGATTTAAAGTAATAGGCCGTATCATTTTTGCTGAGAAGCAAGGGCTTCAATTGCTAGTTTATATTATAAATAAATGTATCTGTCATTCTTATTAAGCTGTACACAAAAACTAGTCCTAACCCTAACAGCTGAGAAAGAATGTTGTAGCAATTAGCAGCAGACAAGCCATATTTTCTTCTTTTTACGTAACATCATCGTCTAACCAAATTTTCTGGTGTAGTTCCGGGAATATCGCTTGTTGCGGATTATAATTTAGGAGGATTTTGCGTATTATTTTCGGACATTATTCGTATTTACTTATTTGTTTGAGTTTGTTTCAGAGGAATTTTACAATGCTATATAGTATTGGAGTTGTAGGTTTTTGTCTTTATGGTACAGATTGAAATTGTACCTTTAACGTTATGGTACAACTTCAGATAGTACCTATACTTTTTATACAAATTCTTTTATGGTACAACTTGAACTTGTACCTTTATGTGATGGTACAACTTCAAGTTGTAAAGTTGTACCATAACATAATGATACAAATTCCTTTATGGTACAACCTAAACTTATACATTTAATGTTATGGTACAACTTCAAGTTGTACGTTAAAGCACCAATACTATATAGCATAGTAGTAGTGCTCTTTGTTTGGAGCTAGATTTCTTGTTATGGTAGTTATAGGAGTTTCTTTAGGGTCAAGATACCTAGTGCTTGTGGGATTGCTACACGTCTAGGGCTTCGGGTTTGCTATTTATATGTGTGTTACTCTTTGGGTTATTGTCGTGGAATAAGAACTCGTTTTAGTTAGAGCTGCCAAAATGTAACCCGACCCGAGAAACACGCCCGATCAACCCGACCCGCAACTCGATTTGACTAAAAGTCAAAGACCCGTAACCCGTCCAACCCGCAACCCGCCCAACCCGCAACCCGATTAACCCGCAACCCGACTAACCCGAACCCGTAACCCGACCAACCCACAGCCCGACTATAATAGAAGGAATTCGATGAAGATAAACTATAAGTTGACATTTGAAATCCTAGTTCACTAAAATCTGATCATTACATCATCAATTATTAACTTAGTATAATATATTAATAATATACATCATCAAATATTGATTTAGATACATCATCAACCTAATAGTGCACATAACATTATAAAATATTAATTTAGCATAATAAGATAATTATAAGATTTAAAATCCAAATATCATGGTCCTATCATAAAAAAGACTAATAATAGTTCACAAAAGTCTGATCATAAGCAACTCCAAATCACACCACTTAGGGTTATTATCTGAAGAGTGAAGAAGAGTTTTGAAAAATCCAAGTTAGTGAACAATAGAGCGTGCCCTTACTACGAAAAAATTGGAAGTTTTTGAGCTACCAAAATTAATCCCGCTTCATTTTTCATCTTCCCTACCACCGGAACCAAAAAAGCCAGCTTTTTCACATTTTCCATTCTTTACATTTTCTCGTAATGCTCCAAAATTATAAGCAAATTTTTTGATTCTGGAGTCAAATATTCGCCAACTAAAATAGCAGGCGGGAAAAATGGTGGACGGCAAATATGGAGCAAAATTTTGGCCAGGAAAATTAAAGTGTCTCAATTCGAGTTCAAATTATGAGTTGTGTTTTTTTGGAGTCCCAACTTTGAAGTCGTGTGGTCCAAAAAATGAGGGAGAAGACTTTGAGTATAAATTTCATTTTATAGAATAATGAGAGTTATCACCCGATTGATCCATATCCTGATTGGCCCGCAAAAAGTAACGCGATATGCTGGTTCGCAATACCCGCAATCAGACCCGCCCGACCCGCAACCCGACTGACCCGCACCCGATTGACCCGCAGCCCGAGTGACCCGCAACTCGAATGAACCCAGCCCGAACCCACCCGATTGACATCTCTAGTTTTAGTATTTCCTTTTTTCGTAGTAATTTTCGTAGAATTCATCGCTCAAAGCATGTTGTGTAGAATTTATGCGTAACACCGTTGTTACGAGGAAAGATTTGAACTGAAGGTGTATGCAAAAAACATGCTCAATATAGCCGAAAACACTATGGTGAACGAGTCCACCATGAGATTCTAAGTTGAGATATCCAGGTAAAAGAAATTATAAAACACTAAAGGCACACATTTCTTTGGAACTTCTGAGGTTTAGTAGAAGAGAAATTCATAAGCATATAACCGAATACATGTATACTTTATATAATTATCTATATATAATTGGTCGACAAGTTAACCAGGTTAATCGAATTTATAACCAATCCAAACCAGCTAAATCAAATTAATTGAGAATGTTACCGGATCAAACTAATCAACCGAACTTAATTGAGCAGATAGGATTGGTTAATGTAGTTTCTTGTTACTCAAACCGTTTGATCAGCCCCCCTTAATACTAGAGACACTTACAAGATTGAATATAGAAAATGTTTATTGGAATAAAAATATCTGAGAAGGAAATCAAGGCAAAATATAGGATGAAAAAAATGCTATATATTTTGAGTATTTCTTTCCCAAACCTAATTCATTACGAGTAAAATAAGGTTTGACTAACTTTACTTTTGGGTACACACATACTAAATTTTTTAGTTTAAATCTAAATTGGACTCATATTATTGGATATCCAAAAGAAAATGGATACTCAATTCTTATCCAATTCTTGTTATGAAAGAAATAGAAAAGTGAAAACACCCATATCAAAAGGGTAATTGGGTTGAAGGTAATTAACGAGATGATCGATATTATTTTGTGTGTACAATCATTTGGATCCAAATGAACCCATTTAGGTCTAACCAAATGAGTATACTCAAATTGGACACAATTATAATCCAATAGAGACCCAACATTATTAAAATTAAATTTGTGTTCATTTTGGTCTAATCCGAAACTCATATGGATCTTATAAAATTAAGCCAAATTACCCAACGGATAAAAAAAATACTAGAATACTAATTAATGAAATTATCAGAAACTAGTACATAAAACACTAAAGGCACACACTAATCTGGATTGGCTGGAGGTAATTGTATAGTTTGAAGAACTTGAGGAAGAAGACAAGAAGTTACGTGGCATTAACAAAGAAATAGAGATGGAAGGGGGTTTAAAAGACAATAATATTCCCTTCCTCCGCCATCCAACTCATAAGAGATCGTACCTCAATAAAAAGAAAGAAAAAAGAAACTCATAAGAGAGCGTGTTTGATGCATCTCTTTCACTTGACTAGAAAAATAAATGGGAAAATTAATCACAGTTTAATGCTGTTCAAACGAGATGATTCGATAAAAATAATTGCAGATTATCGTACTGTATTTAGCTTTGATCTGTGTCTTTATTGGAATGAAGAATTTCTCAAGTTCTAATTATTAATTAATTGAATAATAAATTAGTTAGCAGTTTGAGTTCTCCTCCTTAATTGGTCATCATGATCACCAGTGACCTGAATACTTAAACTTCCATTTTTGGCGATCATTTTGAGGAAGAATATCCATTCTGCAGACAAAAATGGCTATACACCTCCTAGCTATCTTCGTAAAGTCCACACAAAGTCTTTTAACTCAACGAAGCAAAAACAATTTCCCAGTCAAAACCCTCTTTCCCCATTCCAGACCAGAGTTTAGAAAATCACTTTCAAGACATCGTTAAGAACCAAGCCAAATAATAAAAAAAAAAAGTTCTTTGTTTCCCTCAAACATAATGTTCCCTCCCGACAGATCAAGGTATAGCATACAAAATGATATCGAATTGTATTAGTTTGAAGCTGGAGCTAGCCTATCCAGTCAAAGATTACAGACTTAAACTAATTGCTGAGAACTAATACGTACCAGAATTATTTTATTTATTCCTAAAATATTTGCTTTGTTTTCAAGATTATATTCTCCGAGTGGCTATGTACGATGTATCGTAGTATGTATTTATCTGTATGAAGTATGCATTTTTGTAGTATGTTTGGTTCGCGGCCGGCCGGCCGGCCGGTTAAGCTTTTGCTCATTCCATCAGGCTTATCATTCAATGGTCTGGTATGAAACCAACAGCTGCCTAAAAGTAATTTAAGAACTGACAACCCAGCGAAATCAATCACCAGAAACCTGCAACTCTACAAAATCGGCTGCATCAACTGAAAGATTTGAAACCCTATAACCAACCTAATCGCAGACCTCTTCCGATTTCGGGTACGATATCGTGTTCTATACTAAGGTTTTAGATGAATATTGACCTCAAAAGTTATAGGTTATGGTGGGTCAGTACTGTTATTTCTCTTCATGGATCTGTTAAGACTTCAAGGTTAGCAATATATACTAGCGGAAGCGACGATTCAAAAGATGTAATCAGCCTGAGTTTGGAAGGAAATTTCGCCACTGGCCAACGAAATTGAAATCTTAAGATGAAAGATAAAACTAAGCCGAGAGAAAAGAAAGGAAAGGGAAAGCTCAGGAAGGAAACATGTTGGCGCAAACTATCGAACACCTTATAGGCAATGCCCAGGAATAAAATCGGGCAAACCAAGCGGCCTCCTCCTCCTCCTAATTTGGATCATGAAATCACCGATGTGGAGAAAGTGCTCAAGCAGCTAGCTAGTTCTCAGCAGCATTCCAATATTGACTAATCTAACAAATCAGTATCGAAACTGGGAGCGGGACAACCAAACAGACTACTGCCAGTGATTAAATAGAAGGAAGAGAATGGCGACTGGACTGACCTGGAGCTGGCGAAATCGTAGAGCTTCCCCGTGCTGGAGAAGATCATGACTCCGACTTCGGCGTCGCAGAGGATCGCCAACTCCTTTGCTTTCTTCAGAAGTCCATTCCTCCGCTTCGAGAAGGTCACTTGCCTGCTCGTCGAATTGTCTATCCTCCTTATCACTATTTTGCCTCTCCCCATTGCTCTTCCTTCTCTCTCTCTCGTTTTCTCAGCAACCACACAGAATCGAGAAACCGACTCCTGCTAAGAATGGAAGGAAGGAACTCGGACATCAGATACCAAATCAAGAACAATAAGTAAAGCGACAGAAAAGAAGGAAGAAGATAAAATAGTATGAAATGAGAGAGAGAGAGAGAGAGAGAGAGAGAGAGAGGGAAGGATGTAGGAAGGTTTACTCTGACAGCACACGGCGGCGGCCGGACGGCGGAGAGAGACGGACGGGGAGATTGTTGGAATCGGAAGAGAAATCGATAGAAGAGGAAAGGGAGAGAGTGTGAGGGATCTATTTGAGGAAAGGGGTTCTTCTTCTGGGTTATAAGAAGAAGAGAGAGAGGCGGTGACTTTCCGGCGTGAAAACCAGCAGCTTGTTGGTGCTGAGTCACCACGTGGACCAATGAGACCACGCCCTTTTTTCATTTGAGCCGCTTTCCTATAGATGACTGACGCGTGGATATGCGGGTTCGGAGCTCCGCTAGTTCCCATTTCGGGGAAGTTTTTGTATACTTTTTGTGAGAAACCAACAAAAGGAAAATGAAAAGGCATTCAATAAAAGAAAGAAACAAAACAAAAATGAAAACACTGGACAACTGTGATATACAAAAAGACAAGTCATTTTATACTGCAGCTTGCAAATTAAATAATAAATAAATAATCCTTATTGAGTTCTGCTCAAGGTTGTCAACCCGCTTGATCCGAACACGGTGGAGCTAGTGGATAAAGGTTAATAGGTCACCCATTTAGTCCGGAAATATGGAAAGAATCATTATATAGTACTAATCCTGATAAATTATATTAAATCTCATATAACATATGAGTTATAACATATAATATTCCACCAAAATAACATGTCGTACTTAGATCCAATATATAGTTAAATTCACACACACTTACATAAGATATAAATTCAAATGTTCAAGTTAGGATTCCAAAGATGGAGTTAGGCTAAAAGAAAAATCAGAAAATAGGCGCATTTCACAAACCAAAGAAAAATGACACAATTTGACCTCCAACCCGATACCTTGTAGCGGTCGACCCAGCGGATGCGTGCGGCCCATTTTTTTCACCTGGTCAGGGTCAAAGTGGGTCAACCCTCGGGTTGACAACCTTGGTTCTGCTACAAAGTTGGTGGTTTGTCGAGAATTGTTATGGTGCTGATGGCATGTTTTGAACTTTTTTTATAAATTTTTTTTGGATGATTGGTCATTCGATTTACTAAAATTTTATTAACCAATTATTTTCAAATTCTTTTGTATTAGTCAAACCTATCGAAATACTAAGAATTAACCAAATGTTAACTTTCAGTTAGTAATTTTGTTAGTAATATTGACTTGGCGAACATGATACTGACTTGAAAGAAACACATGAAGGTCAACATTCCAAAATTTTAGTATTTTAACTATGAAAAGAGTTACAAAATTATTAACAATAACGTAAAAATTGCAAGTATTTTGATGCATTATGAAAAATTTGATTAATTAATAACATTTTAATAGGTTTGGATAATATAAAAGAATCTGAAAAAGGTGTAGATAAAAAATAGACATTAGCCAAATTTCTTTCTTCTTGGTTAGTAATTTTAAACCAAAATTTGATTGTTAGTCATTGGCCATTAAAAATAAAAATTAATTATTTTTAATATTCGACACCACCATTTTTTATAAAGTTTCTAAAGTAAACATGTTTTCACAAGCGATCTACACTATAATCGCTGGAGAGAAACGCGATCAAAGGTAAATCGCGTTAAAATAGGGCGATGATAGGACTTCCAAGTAAAGTTATGAAAGTTTTAGTCACTTACAAATACAAAGATTATACACATAATAGCGTGTGAGAAAAGCGATCATACAAATCGCTTAAGATGCAAGCAATCAATAGTAAATCGCTCTTGTCAACAACTATTTTATTTCACCATAAGGTTAGGGTTGGTGCACCTGTTTTCCCTTGATCGTTTAGCTATAAGCGATCATACTAAATCACTTAAGTCAAGCGTGATCAATATCCAACACGAGGTTAGGTGCAGTGGCCTAGGCGTGATCGCTTTAGTCAAAAGCAATCTAGGTCCAATCCGATTCCAAAATAAAAATAAGACCCCCATTTAATTCTCTCTTATTTCCCATCTTCTCCACCTTCGTAACAAAAAACTTCCCTCTTATCTGCCAAACTTACAGAAAATCCTACAGCCACCAGAAAGCCATCTAATTTCTCTCTTATTTCCCATCTTCTTCACCTTCGTAACAGAAACTTCCCTCTTATCCACCATACTTGTAGAAAATCCAACAACCACCTAGGACTTTGAGGTAACAGAAATTCATTTCCTCATTTTGACTATAAGGTATGTCTGAATTTGTTAAGTACGGTCATGTTTAAGTAGTTATGTGTTTGTAGTTCACTAATTATGCATCGTGCAAATTATGCTAAATATTCAAATTAAAGCTAAATGTATAATGGATTGTGCTTTTAGATGTTGTATATGATCGTTAGCTATTTTAAATTGCAGACATGGGTAGATTTCAAAAATTCCAGCTTCTTATTCGGTGGAATGGTTAGATGAAAAACTTCCACAAAGGGATCGGTTACGAAGATGGTGAATCCAGTAGGTTGAAAATTGAGACCAAATTCACGTCGTTAGAACTCTATGACATTATGCAGACAATATTTGTATCATGAGGCAGACAAGAGTTTGTAAAAGCACTTATCGATATCTAAACATCAGTGGATGCAGTGTGACATAAGGAGTTGTCATATCTCACAATGACAGGGTTAACCTGATGTTGGAGTTCCTTGTTGAAAACAAGATTGGGCTTGTATAGGTGTATGTTGAGACCAAGGATTCCAGTCATGGTGGAGCCAGTTACGGATATGATGGCGGTGAAAACCTCTTATCACCACCATTATTATGATGATGGTGTTGCAAGAGGGTACAAATGGAGTGGTTATTCAAGCAAATATGAAGTATGTAGTTACGCAAGCAGATATGTGGGAGATGGTGTACCATGGGAAGATGCTATTATGAATCGTGTTAATCCTGTTGAGCCTACCCAATTTGTTGAGTTAGATGGCGTTCAATGGCCGACTTGGGGTCCAGAATGGACTGACATTAAAAGTACGATTCGGGCATCTAGGTCATCTCCATAGAATTGAGACAATGATGTTGGCGGTGATGGTTGTGAGGATCCCACTAACGAGATAACGAGTTGTCTATTTGAAAGTGACGAGGATAGTGAAGAAGATTTGGGGATTTGTGAGTGAGGAGGAGGACACGGGACAATGAGGTGGATGTCTGGGAGTCGCCTACTCCATGCTACACAAATATCCGTACTCATCCCTTATATACTCATAACGAAGATCTCAACTTTCTCCCTATGGCAGTGTGGAATCTGATGGCCGAATTGGAGATGGTTATGACATTTCCCACCAAGGATGGTATTGGTGATGCTTTTAGAGAAGTAGTCATGTGCGGAAAAAAATTGAGTGGAAGGTTAAATATTCTGACAAAAAACAACTCCGTATCATAAGAATCCTAGAATGGATGTCGCTGGGAGCTTCGAGCTGCATGGATGAAGAAAAAGGGTATTTGGGTAATTTTCATGGTGTAGAACAACCACAACTGCTCATCTTACATAATTTCCCAGGACCTCCGCCAACTGAATGCAAAGAAAGTGAGTGCCACTACCAAGCACTTGATCGAGGCACAAGCAGACATCACCATTAAATCTATCATGGACGAGGTGAAAATCATCATTTCTATACAATCGCGTACAAGAATGCATGGTATGAAAATCAAAAGGTCATGGCTTATGTGTATGGCGATTGGGATGACTCATACCCTCTTCTTCCTAGATTGATGTCTGCAATGGAGGAGTCTAACTTCGGGACTGTTTTCATGTCGTGGTACAACAATGTAGAAACTAAAGACCAAGTTCACGTCCAAAATGAGCTGATGTTTCACAGCTTATTTTGGTTATGCAATCCATTCATTGATGGGTTCGCTTTCTTCCTTCGAGAATGATTGTTTTAACAATAGTGGAGATGACCTAATGGAGGGAAAACGAGTGGTTTGTTAAAATATGTCAAAAGGCCATTTTGAGACAGCATGTCGGAGAAGCCAAACACCTCACATAAAAAATTATAGAAAAGTACGAAAAGCACGCTGGTAGACATATTGTGACCCTCTTGAACTTGGCTGAAGGTATATGTTCAATAAACTAAGGTCTATGGAGTGGAGGAAGACGTGGAAGCGATCGTCAAACGGAAATCCCCTGGCTGAAAGCCGAACTAGAGAGTGTACATGTAAGAAGTTTCAAAACAAAAGAGTGTTTTGTTCCCATGCAATGGTGGCAGACTGGCAGCTAAGTCACAATCCCTTAATCCCTACAGCTTTGTGAGTCCTTACTACAAATATACTCCCGAAAGTCAAGTGGATATAGGAAACTTTTTTTAAGAGATCCATCTAGTTCTATATATTTTTAATATTTTTTCATTTGCATTGCATCTTAAAATTAAAAATTGGATTTTGTTCTTATTGTTACAAACGTACGATTCATGGAAAATAAAGAAATACATGGAATCGATCACTTGCATCATAGCTTTCCAAAGCTGAAAGGGCTACAAAACCATCCAGGCGAACATTAAGGGCTATCTCATTCCAAATTTAAAAGTACAAATTTTGAAAATTATTTAATGGATGAATGGAAACCCTGGTTAATAAATTAGTATGGATGCATTTTTGTGCCTTTTACTAGATGAAGCTTATTGGTAACTACTTGAGGGGAAGTAGATGATCCCACCATTACACTTAAAGCACACTAAGGTTCATCAAAGAACGAACAGGATTCCCAACGAGATGGATCGTTTAGGGCGAGCAAGAAGAGCCCCAAAGCATTGTAAATTATGCAGGCAACCTGGGCATGCTATGAGGCATTGTCCAGGACCGCCTATAGAGCCAACAAGTGACAATTAGTATCAATTAAAGTTTCAAATTCTTATTTGTAATGCATAAGTTATTTTTAAATAAAAGCCTAAAAGTTGGGGCATAACATAACTCCACATAACTCTTGAACATAACTTCAACTTCATACTCAATATAACACTAGAGCACACTTTTTTATGTGGAAGATCGTTGTTGGCCGCATTCCTAAAGCATGCAAGTATCTATTGAGTGGAGGAGGAGAGGGAGGAAGATTGTGATGGTGGTGTGAATAAAATGAGGGGGATGGGGGGGGGGGGGGGGGGAGGGAGGGGTGGATCAATTTATAGGCATAAGGGGAAACTGAGAGAGCGACTAGATCGCGGTCCTAGAACGGCATCAACGGTTGATTGCGTTACACAAAAACGATTTGTGTCTTCCACACTACAAACCCGTGTTCCACGTCAGTGATCCACGTTCTTTGTAACGGCCAGTTATGTCTGCTAGTGGGATTTCTATATACTCCATGATTGCATGTAGACATGTCGTGATATGTTGTCTCTCCTCCT